AGACCCAAAGGGGGAGCCCCAGAGACACCGTGTCGGCTATTCACCACCAGTTGTGAGGCTTGATGTCAAAAAACAGGAATAACCGCCGACCGGAGGGAGGGAGGGATGCAGAGGAGCCTCCGGGTCTCAACCAGAAAATGGCATTTCATTACATTCAACACTGGTTTTCTAACTAACTACTGGAGCTAACTACCCACAGAGGAAAGTAGAGGGACTTACCCAAGAGGCGGTCGCCGCTCACTCCTCAACTCAAAGTCGAGACCACTGGCTGCAACTGCCGGCCCAAAATGACACAGGCCTGAAAAGGGCCCGGAATGTGCATGAGGTAACGAGCAGCCAGGACCCTGTTCAACCACCAAAAGCCCAGTGCCCGAATGGCAGCCTAGGACATGGTGCCAAAGACAGCAGTAAGAGCAACGAACGTACGAACATCATCTTGAGATTATCTTGAGATGATTTCGAGGCTTTTTAGTGTCCTCGCGGCCCAGTCCTTGACCAGGCCTCCACCCCCAGGAAGCAGCCCGTGACAGCTGACTAACACCCAGGTACCTATTTTACTGCTAGGTAACAGGGGCATAGGGTGAAAGAAACTCTGCCCGTTGTTTCTCGCCGGCGCCTGAGATCAAACCCAGGACCACAGGGTCACAAGTCCAGCGTGCTGTCTGCTCAGCCGACCGGCTCCCCATGGACACAGGGATGGACAGCAGGCTGGCAAGCCTGAAGAACACTGTGGATGACCAGGGAGACCTGCACCCGCAAATAGGAAAGAAGAGAAACCGGATCAACCCAAAGCGCGTCCCCGGTCACAGAGGCCGTGGCGCACAAAGAAAGGCGGAGGGCCACAACCAGACACAAAACATGATGCACCCCCGGCCTAACCAACCAAGTATCAACAACCCAAGGACCCCTCTGGAAAGCAGCAGTCTCATTCCATGCCAGAAAAGAAGGAGACGTACTGCAAATGAACAAACCTATCACCACGATCGAAGGAGCAGAAACCCCACCGCTGGAGGAGAGCATTAAGCTCACCCACCCGACCCCCAGAGGCTAATACCAACAGGAAAAGAACCTTCGAGAAACACCCCCAAACCAAGGGGGACACAACATACCGAGGAGAAGGAAGAAAAGAGAGCACTCTGTCCAAAGAAAAGGACCGCTCAGGTGGCGCATGAGCAGGCCGGAGGTGAAAATGCACAAGACAGCTTGCGAAATGGCGCAGATGTAACATCAATATCGAAAGCAAACTGAAGCGTCTCTGCCAGCGCCGCACAATACAAGGTGATAGTATGCAGCGACTGTGCGGAGATCGGAAACTATGGCTCCGACGCGAGACATCAGAGAAGGGACAACGCGAGACCTTGAAATATCAACAGGAAGGGAAGCCAGGAAACCAGGAACCCAAACCTGGCAATGAGAGAGCCAAAAACACAAACAAAACAC